AGGGCAGCCCAGCTCCAGGTTGAGCTGTTGTTCAGCATCTTAGCTGTAGAGGGCAGTGTCACTGGCCCTCATATGTGGGATCCGAACCGGGGCCCTCTGTCGTCCTAAGCCAGTTCTTAACCATTGCGCCACTCGGCCGGCCCCACAATGCATGGATTTGATAGCAGAATAACCACAGCTAGAGAATTGATTAGGAAAGATCAAAAAATTTTTACATAATGTAGCCCAAAGAGATGGAAAATATGAAAGAGCGGTTATAAATCATGGAAATATTGTAAGAAATACAGCAATCATCTAATTGGAATTCCAGGCAGACAATAGAGGAAGGAAGGGCTGAAAGCAGTAATTGAAGGGGTAATGGCTGAGAATTTCCAAGAAATGACAAACCTCAGGTTCAAAAGGCCTGACAATCCCAATAAGGATACATGAAAGGGAATTTACACTCAGATACATTCTAGTAGAACTATTTACATGCTGAGTTATAAGGCAAATATCAAATAATACCATAAACAAAGAGAAAAAAATTTAAAAGCAGCCAGAGAAAGAAAAGACAGATTACTTGCAGCAGGATAACAGTTGGACTTCTTAACAACTATGGAAGTCAGAGAAAGTCTAAAATCTTCAGGGTGCAGAAAGAAAATTGCTGTCAACCTAAGTTTGTATATTATCTTTTAAGAACAATGGAAAAATCAAACATCTTTAAATAAGCAAACAAAATTTGAGAGTTTGTCACCAAGAGACCCTCAGTAAAGGAAAGTCTAAAGGCTGCTCTATAGGCAAGAAGAAAGTCGTCAGAGTTGAATAAAGGAATGAGGAGCAAGGAAAGTACTAACTATGTGGTTAATTGTAAATAAATATTTGCTAAAAACAACAATAATAATCTCTTAAGAGGTTTAAAAAACTAGTTAGAAATGAAATACACAACCATCTATAGCATGTAAGTTGAGAGGGGAATGATGAGAGTTAAAGTGTTCTACTGTCCTTTTTATTATTTTTTTATTCTCTTACTGTCCTTTTTATTGTTTGGTAGAATGATAAAGATATTAAGTATCCAAGTTAAAATTTCTAACATAACCATCAAAAGGGTGTATAACTTTCAAACTAAAATATCGAAAAAAGTGGAAAAAAAATCAATACAAAAGTAGATGAGAACAGAAAAAATAAATATTGAAGGTTCAAGACACATAAAAAGCACAAAATAAGATAGTAGAATTAAATTCAAATATATCAGGAATTAAAATAAGCAAAAATAGACTAAGTGCCCAACTTATAAGGCAAGAATTTACAGATGGTATGTGTGTGTCTACATACGCTTATATATTGTTTTAAAGAACTCAGCTATATTCTAAGTCACATTTAAAACAAAAAGTTTCAGAAAAAATGAGAAGAGTGTGAAAAAAAATTATACCATGCAGACACTAACCAAAAGAAAGTTTGTATTGCTGTATTAGTATCAGACAAAATAGTTCTTAAGACAGAAAGCTTTAAAGAGAATCATTTCATAAGGATAAAAGGTTCAGTTCTCCAGGAAGAGGTAAGAGATCTCTAAACTCATAAATATTTAGATCAAGCTGACAAAATCAGTAAAAAGATAGAAGAACAACACAATTAATAAGCTAGCTTTAAATGAGTAAGTGTATAGAACACTGCACCTAAGTACAGAATACACATTTCTTTTCAACTAACATGGAGTATTTTTGAAAATTGACCACATGTTGAGCTATAAAGCAAATATCAATAATTTTCAAAAGACTGAAATCTTACAAATCANAAAACCTTGCAAAGTCATGTTATTCCACAATTGCTTTTCCCTTAAATTTACTTTCGCCTTCCACCCAGCTCCCCTTACCTTCTGTCTTTTTTTCCCCTTTTCCATCTGTAATTCTGGGTTAACGTTAAGGGAGCTATGATTGCTGGGAAATATGTTGAGTTTGGGATTCTTCACAGAATGATGGGGAAGTGTTTTCCATCAACTAAGTGGGTTTTTGCAGCTGTTCACCACTCCATAAACCATATGGCTGAAAGGAAACCCTGGCAATTATCTACCCTAACTTCTTCCTTTTATAGTCTAAGAAATTAGGGTAGAAAGAAGTGAAGTAACTTGAGCAATGACACTTCAGGCACTAAGTGGGGAGCTGAAATAGGTCCACATACAGCCTGCCTAAATGTATAAAAGTAATGCATCTGGGAGATGACAGAATTAAAATATGTTCTGTCCTATTTTATATTACAAGACTAAATCTATTCATGTCAAGTTGCTAAACCATTCAGATATAAAATAAATAAAAAGGTTTATTTGCGTATGTTCGAGAGACATTGTGAGAACCAGTCCACAAATATGAATTTTCTTGTATTTCCTGTTTTCACTGCACTTTATACAAAAATTTATTTTCAAGGAGATCCAAGATGAAGAGATACATGATCTATTCTGTGGTAGTCTGTATACTCTGAACCTTGGTCTATGATCTTTTCTACTATAGCTCTCAAGCTCATCTGCCAACCCTCTTCCAATACTTTGATTCCTATGAAATGTCCGGGATTCATATAGTGCTGGGATAGGATTGGCAATGGGACAGGGAGAGACTGAGCCAGGAGAGGCTGTTAAATCCAGCTGTCCCTGGGCCACAGACAGCAGGCCAGTGTAAGAGAGGAATGGCTTTCTATGGATAGATCCAATTCTGAGCTGCCAAAGAGCTTTATGGGATGATAGAGACGGTAGCTCTCTAAAGATTGGAAATCCTAAACCCATGGAAAGTGATGGAGCTTAAGGAAAGACCTCAGACTTTGGAGTCAATGGACTTGGCTTAGAATCCCAGCTGTGCTTCTTCGTAGCAATGACATTTTTCAAATTCATTGTAAATTCTCTAAGCCCTCAGTTTCTTGATCTGTAAAATGTGATTGTGAAGCTGTAATGAAATAATATATGTAAAAAAAAATCAGTAAATATCAGGGGGGATCACGTCATAGATTATAAATGCCTAACCACTCTGCTGTACACCTGAAACTCATATAAAATAATATTGAATGTCAACTATAATTAAATATATAATTAAATATATAAAATATATATATCATGGGATGTAAAGTATAGCATGGGGAATATAGTCAATGGTATTGTAATAGCTACACGGTCAAATAATTGGTGAACTTTCCACTGTGTAAGTGTACAATGTCATAGGGGTAGTAGACTTGGGGTTATCACTTTGTAAGTGGTGTAAATGTCTAATCATTATTATGTTGTTTTGTACACCTGAAACTCATAAAATAAATAAAATCAGTAAACTTATAAATTTTAGTTTTTCTTTTCTTCACCTTAAATTCCTTAGGTTCCTTCTATCTCAGGCCCTCTCTTCACATCCCCACCAAATAGCTCTGCTAAAGAAAGACTCAAGTTTTTGCTGAAATACCCTTGAAGAAAACCTCCTTGGAATTTGGATCTACAGTTTCAGAAGAAGTTGACATGGTAAGCCAACACTATTGTGCTTTTCTTTCCAGTTTTATTAAGACATAATTGACATAGAACTGTGTAAGTTTAAAGTGTAGAACATAATGACTTGATATATGTATATATTATAAAATCATTGTCACAATAAGGTTAGTTAACATCCATCACCTCATATAGTTACAGTTTTTTTTCCTTGTAATGAGAACTTTTAAGATCCACTCTCTTAGCAACTTTCAAATATACACTATACAAAGTATTGTTAACTATAGTCATCATATTGTACATTACATGCCCAGAAATTATTTATCTTATAACTGCAAGTTTGTACCCTTTGACTACCTTCATCTAATTCCCCCAAACCCCACGCCTTGCTTCTCGCAACCACAAATCTGATCTCTGTTTCTATGTGTTTGGTTTTTTAAATTTCCACATATAAATGAAATCACATAGTATTTGTCTTTCTCTGTCCGACTTATTTCACTTAGCATAATGCCCTCAAGATCCATCCATGGTGTTGCAAATGGCAAGATNGCTACCTCTCTGTAACCTCTGGTGCTCAGGCCAACAGTTTCTTATCGCCAAATCTAATGGACATTTTTCTGCCTTTATCTTACGCAACAGGAATTTGAAGTTATAGACCATGCCTTTCTTTAACTCCTCCTTTCAGTTCTATTCTCTCCTGTTTTTCCATCCTCTTACCTTGGTGGCCAGTTGCCCTTAGAATCCTTCAAGAACTTCTGTCCTCTGGGCCCTCCTTAGATATCAGTGTTCTCTGAGGCTATATCCTAGAATCTCTACCCTAATCACTGTTCCCAGTTTGCTTGGGGGACATAGTTGAAATACTTGGCTTTACTTATAGTGGGGTCACGTTTTGAGACAGGGAGTTTTCTGGGTAATGATGGGGAGGAAGGTTCTAAAGTCAAATGAAGGGTATAATATAACTTACCCTTAGAAAGCCTTTAAATAGTCCATGAACACAGTGTAGCACATAAATTCACATAGTTTTTCCTCCAGTGTTGGAAGAGATTATTGAACTTCAGCTGAGCATTAGGTTATATGTAGTTGATTTGGGTTTAGGACTATAAATGTAAAAAAAAAAAAGGCAATAGTATCTGTAAATACAAGACCAACATTCAGCTGGGGAAACATTCGGCCCAGGGAACCTGAAATCTGCTGAGTACTGCCTCTCTTCTCATGTTCATTTTGGCACATATGCTGTATGTGAGGAATGGCAGGAAAAATCATTGTTATTGATTATCCCTATTGATTTTCCTTTGTTTTACCAAAGGTAGGTGGTTGGATTTGCATACGTGAAATGTGCATGTGCACTACTATGTGTATGCAAGGAACTCTCCTGTCTCTGTTGCCAGCCTGGTGCACTGAGGCCAGGCCCACATGCTGGAGGTCCCCTGTATAGGCCGATTATTCCTTCATGTTAACACTCCCTAGACTGTACTCATGATTTCTCTCCCATCCTTACACTCTACCCCCACCCCAACTACTACACTTCTCCATTCCTGTCTAGAACAGGGATCAGCAAACTGTGCTCACGAACTGTGGCTGTGAAGTAAAATTGAAAATGAAAATAAAACTATCATAGTTTCATTTATAAAATTTTTAAAGGATATTATTCACATAATGGTGATTATGTAAAAATATANACTTGTTAAGTCCTGCTCTGGTGCTTGAGACCGATGGGGACGTGCGGTGCCTTTCTGCATCCAGACCTGATTCCGCAGACATTCCAGTAGACTGAAGCACCTTCCTCAAAAGTTTGTCAGTCATCCTCTAGTAACTATAACTATTGAGGCTGGCATTACTGTCAGGGCAAGGTATCCAGGCCCAGACCAGAACCCATGTGGTACCAGGTATGCATTTCCCCCACGGGTGCATTTCTCCTTTGGGGCACCTTCGGGCTCTCTACCCCGTGGGCTGACTAGACTCCTGGAAGGAGCTCTGTGACTCGTGCCTGTGAAGTGAAGCGCGGGGCCTGGTGTCAGGGCCTTTTTGCAGGAGGGTGACCTGGTGAGCAAATAGCTCCCACTGCTAGCAAGGTATTTCTTTTGCAGGATGGCAGGGCCACCCAAATGATACGGGCACACAAAATGGTTTTGGGAGATTCTCTCTCGAGTTGGATTAAAGACAAGGTCAGGGTTTTGGGGTACCCATGGTCCGCCACTGACTTGGGCTTAAGCTGTGTGTATCAGCCATACTCTGAGTCTTCCCCACGTGTGTTCCCACTGCGGTGGCACTCCCAGGGTACAGCATCCAAGGGCAGCAGGGGTGGTAATGGAAGTCCTGTACCCTGTGGCACACCCTCCCCCCTCATCACTGTCACTCCACCTCTACCACAGGCTCCAGACCACTTTTCAGACAGTCCTCTGGGTGGCCTTGCCTATCTCCTTGAGGGATTTTTAGAGGCCTGTTGCTCTGCAGCGCTCATGGGCCTTTCTGATCCATTTGTCTCCCAGGTGGGTCTTAAGCTTTTCAGGGATAAGGGACTGCTTGAATGAGACTGATCTGGCTCCACTCAGAGGCCCTGGGTCGGGTTCCTCACTTATCCTCCTTACTGGCTGATGGTGTTTGGAAGACAGGGGTGCCTTTTCTTGAAAGAGATCATATTCTAGGAATATGCTGATTACTGCCTAATGAGTTTATGAGAAGACAAGATCAGATGTTTTCCTGAGCTTTCACTATAAAATTCCTATTAGTAGATTTACCATGACTAGAAAACAAATTACTTTTCACTTTTTTCTGCGTACTCTGGACTTGTATTTGTGGTCATCATCAACAAAACACAGAAGCAACTTTTGGGTGAGTGATTGGCAGCCAATACTCACAGGTAGCTTGATAGATGATGCAGCCTCATGATATAACAAGCATTGAATACAGTAAATGGTATTAGGGAACTGCAGGGGTAAGAAATCTATATAGTTTAATTACAAGCAGGTTCCAAAGAGCCAAGGCATTGTGAATAATAACAGTGTTACTACTTTTTTCCTGCTTGTGAGTGAGATATGAAATTAGTTGGAAACAACTCATTTGTCAATAAAGAACATGAAGAGATGATTTCTGGGTATGAACAGGACGAGATGGTGTCTGGGCTCTATGAATAATCTTCATCTGCACTGATTGGACAATACATACCTTGTCTTTTTCATCAGTTGTTTTAAATCTTTATTGACAAAACACTATTTACTCAGATTGGGCCATAAATTTTGTAATGCAATTTTAAAATCATATTGTGACTATTGACAGGGACCTAGCAAAAAAAC